GGGGGGTCTGTCCCACCATCTTTTCACTAGTCCAACAACCCCTGAATCCACCTGTCCTGTCTTCCCCACCTCAGGATGTTCTGCATGGAAGGACAAGATCAAAGTATAACCTTTCTATATAGATTTGCAGTTTTGCCTGTCCGATGTGTAAGCCCTGCTTTTACAGACCCTGACTTGTAAGCAGGGAGCAGTTGGTCTCATGTACTAGCCGCTGCTCTCCTTATGTGGTGCCCCATGATAACGATGCCTCTTTGTCCTACCCCATTCTCACCCCAGGGTCTGGCTTTACCCTGTTGAGTGAGCAGGCGGACCCTAGTTTGGTTTAACATCTGCAACCACAGGCAAAGGCCAGAAAGGCTCTGGTTCCAACCTGGCGGACTTGAGACCTAACACCGGAGCTGTAGCTGGTGATGAGTTGTGAGGGAGAAGTTCATCAACTGGGCTGTCCAATTTACATGCATCTTTCCAACCCAGAAGATTTCCCCTTGGTTTTAAGACAAGTGCCAGCCCAAGGCCTTAGGAAACTCTCCCAACTGCAGCCTACATGGACCCCTCCTCCAATGTCAGCCCCCTCCAGAGTATACACCTGGTGTAGCCACTCCTGCCAGGTGGTCCATTGGTTCTGGGTCTGGTGCACGTGCCAGACCTGCCTCTACCCCAAGAGCTGGGTGAGGACTGAAGTCTGACCTTTGTTTCTCCAGCTGAAATAACTAAGAGGCCTGGTGAACCACACCTTCTAAACAATAAAATCTCATTAAACAGGTTTTTATTAATCCAGTATAATATGCTATTATACCTGAAATTTTCTCTAATATTGCTATAGAGTCAGATGTTCACCTGTTTGGTGCATATTGAACCCTGGGGAGTCAATTCAAACCAGAGCATCTTCTAGACACATTGTCATTAACCTGGCCAAAGTCAAAATGAATGAGAAAACTCTGCAAGCAGCCAACCAAGCATGAGCAGCAGCTCACCTACACGGGAAAATTCATCTGGGGCACAGCCAACAAACCAGAAGAGAACACACTCTCATCACCAATTTTCTCAAACAAAACAATCCCAAAGTGAGGATTCTGTACCCTGAGAAACTAAGTTTCATCTTTGATGGAGAAATCAAATCTTTTAATTTCAAGCAAACATTGAGGAAATTTGCCACTACGAGACCAGCCCTGCAGGAAATACTCAAGCCTAAACTATACACATCCCAACACAATGGACAACCAGCAATGTAAGGATACCTGGAAACTGAAGCACAAGGCCTAGCTTCCACATGCCCCAAGTGATAAAACAAGGCAACTGAGTTTCACACAGGAGATGAACAGGACTCCACACTTATCAGTTCTCTCAATAAATGTAAATGGCTTGGATTCCCCACTGAAGAAGCACAGACTGGCTAACTCCCACCCTAGGGTCTGGCTTTACCCTGTTGAGTGAGCAGGCGGACCCCAGTTTGGTTCAACGACATCTGCAACCACAGGCAAAGTGTAAAAAAGAACAAACCAAGTATTTATTGTCTTCAGGAAACACATCCAACCCCCAAGGACATATCCAGACTCAGGGTGAAGGATTGGAAAACAATTATTTTAAGCAAATGGAAACCAAAACAAAGTAGGTGTCACAATCCTCTTTGCAGTTACAACTGGCACTAAAACAACAAAAGTAATGAAAGATAAAGATGGACACTATGTGTTGATCAAGGGAACAATACAAGAGGACATATCAATTCTACACATACACTCAACACAAATGCTCCCAGATTTATGAAACAAACCCTTCTTGGCCTGACCAGTACGATAAACAACCACACCGTAATAGCCAGGGACTTCATCACTGCACTGACAAAACTGCACAGATCTTACAAGTGGAAACTAAATTAAAAAGTTATGGACTTAAACACAATTCTAGCACACCTCGGCTTAACAGACAACTACAGAACATTACCCCAACACTACTGAATGTACATTCTTCTCATCAGCTCATGGATCATTCTCTAAGATGACTCACATCCTAGGACACAAATGAAGCCTCAAAAAAATTTTTTTTTGTTTTTTTTGCAGTTTTTGGCTGGAGCCAGGTTTGAACCCACTGCCTCCAGTATATGGAGCTGGCACCCTACTCCTTTGAGCCACAGGTGCCACCTAGCCTCAAAAAAATTTTAAACATAGAAATTCAACCTTGTATCTTTGTAGACAACAATGAAATAAAAGTCAAACTCCGTGTCAGCAGAAACACTCATTCTCACAAAGTCTGGACTCTGCATACCCCATTGCTAAACGATAGCTGGGTCCAAGAGGAGATGAAAAGGGAAATCAGTAGATTCTTTGAACAGAACGATAATGAGGCCACAAGCTATCAAAGCCTATGTGAGCCTGCAAAGACAGTCTGAAGATAAACTTTTCATA